GTGTGGACACCCGACAGGACACCGATTAGAGCTCAGCTGCCCTGGAGTCAGTTCTGAGTGAAGTGGGGCCGAGACTCATGCCGACATTGTTCCCTCCGTCCCGCTGGGAGCGGACTCTCCACCCCAACAACCCCCTCGTCGCCCACAACAGGTGGGAGCCACGGGATCGGATGGAGTCGACCTCACAGGTAGACGGTCAGCGATGGACACCCGACAGGACACCGATTAGAGCTCAGCTGCCCTGGAGTCAGTTCTGAGTGAAGTGGGGCCGAGACTCATGCCGACATTGTTCCCTCCGTCCCGCTGGGAGCGGACTCTCCACCCCAACAACCCCCTCGTCGCCCACAACAGGTGGGAGCCACGGGATCGGATGGAGTCGACCTCACAGGTAGACGGTCAGCGAGTGAAGACTCAAACGAAGGCCCTGTCACCATCTCTATGGCAACCGGAGTCCCCGCTCCAGGGTGAGGTGACTTGATGGCGGAGACGGCCCAGCTGCAGCCATGAACAGCTGCCGTCTATGTTGGGACGGAGACCCGCCCCGCCCCTGATGAGTCCATTTCTATAAAGTGGGTCTGGACGGGTCATAAGGAGTCACCCGCATTGGTCCGTGGAGATGCAAGCGAGGATGTAGCTGCGATTGGATGGGGGACGTATTAGTCCTGTTAGTCCAATGAGACCCAAGCACCAAGATGGCACCGGTTCGATTCCCGGTCGGGGCACATCCCCACGTTGCGGACTCGACCCCCGTCAGGGGCGTGGAGGGGGCAGCCAATCCATGTTCCTCTCTCTGATGTTTCTCTCTCTCTACCTCTCCCTTCCTCTCTCTCTAAGATCATATATATTTTTAAAGATTTTAGCCCCTTCTATGCGTCAGACACCTTACAGAGAATATTTACTATACGCCTCACACTAAATTTACCAGATTTTTATTATTCCATATTTTTACATCGTTTTAAGTAAACTAAGTCACCTATTCCAAGTTATATAGCCGGTGAGCTCCTGTACCTGAAGACCCAAACTGGATGTGCCTGGGTTCTTTCCCGGCACCGTTACTCCCCCGCAGGGCAGGGGCAGAGGACCAACAGCTGTAACTGCTGTGATGCCGCCTACATAAAGGTCAAGAACAGGCAGGGCCTATGCGCGCTGGTCGAGGGCTTCCTTCCTTCTGCTAAGCTGCCGGCTATTCCTCCCGGGCGAGCATCTTTTGCTTTTCAACCTGCAGGGATGTGAAGCTGACAGTTACCGAACACTTTACCCTACCTGTCCTCTCCTTGTCTAAAGGCCCTGTATTATTTAACTGGTTCCCCACTCTAAGGCAGTCTTATTCCTACGCCCATTTTTAAAAAATATATTTTATTGATTTTTTTTACAGAGAAGAAGGGAGAGGGATAGAGAGTTAGAAACATCCATGAGAGAGAAACATCGATCGGCTGTCTCCTGCACACCCCCTACTGGGGATGTGCCCGCAACCAAGGTCCATGCCCTTGACCGGAATCGAACCCGGGACCCTCCAGTCCGCAGGCCGTGCTCTATGCACTGAGCCACACCGATCAGGGCCCTGCGCCCATTTTATAAGTAAGCAAACAGGTTTCCGAGGCGCAGTAACTTGGCCAAAATAAAGAAGTGCAAGCCACAAAAGTGAGCATCGGAGGCACATGCCTCTGCGTGTGTGCATGCAGCGCTGGTGAGGTAAGTCAGTGGAGATACATGGATACTGGAACGGACACGCGGGCGGCTCTCCAGCGACCGCCCTTTCTCCACCAAAATGTCCCGCCTTTCACTTCGGGAAGCCGGGCCGGACGCTCGCCGTGTCCGAGAGTTTCTGGCCCGAATCCGCGGCTGTTCAGAAGGTTCTCCGCTCTAGCGGCCCCGCCCCCTCGCCCCGGCTCGCC